ATAAATATTACTTTGATGAATTTTTTTTTAAATTGAGTGGGGGTGCCATATGGAACTCTTACCAAATGCTTTAGGAAATTCACAGATAAATCTTAGTAATAATATTTGACTGAAAATTTTGATTTATGTACACAGCAGATTTGTAAATGTTCAGTCAAAGCTTGTCAAATCATCAAGATACTATAATACTGAATGTACCAAGTGTATCTATAGTTACATGGTTTTTATAAGCCAACATGCATAGGGATATTATGTTTAGAATAGCTCAGTTTTTATATATACAAGCAGCAAAAAAAATTCAAAATTTGAAACACTAAAAAAACTTTTATATTAGATTATTATTATTAAAGTCATAGAACATTTACAATATTTAAAAGTCTAACATACAAAGTTATCAAGATTAAATTGGTATCATCTCTATACCTACTCTAATAAGAGTGCTAGCCTTGAAGATCTTAATTTATTAAAAAAGCTACCCAACAGTCTGAACATATATCACACATACACACACTAACTGTGCTGATATAGTAAGTAAAAATAAGTCTTCCAACAATTGATAGATTATTATTAAATAATTATAGATACCGTTTCAGAAAAGTCCACAGTCTTTCAAGTTGTTCTTGATTATAACATCAGTAACAGCATCAAACACAAACTGAACGTTGCTCGTGTCAGTTGCACAAGTAAAATGAGTGTAGATGTCCTTGGTGTCTTTTTTACGGTTCAAGTTCTCAAACTTCATCTGTATGTATGCAGCAGCTTCTTCATAGGTGTTGTTACCTGTTTAAGTATTAAAAAAAAAAATCTTTTTCTTACAAAACACAAACCATTACCTACAGAATTTGATAGCGTATGAACTAACTATCAACCACATTGAACAAAGGTTTCTCAAATGACAGATTAAAAAAAAGAAAAAGAAAAGGGATGCCTTACCTGTATATTCTGGAAAACAAATCGTTAAGGGAGACTTGGTAATTTTTTTCTCAAATAAGTCTTTCTTATTCAAAAACAATATGATGGATGTGTCAACAAACCATTTATTGTTACAAATGGAGTCAAAGAGTTTCATGCTTTCAATCATTCGGTTCTAGAAAGTAAAAAATAAAAGTAGCAATCATTTTCTTGCAGAAGAAAACTTGTTACACAAGATTTTAAAATATTTAATTTCAGATTCTAATTTTCGGTTTTAATTTGGGATATAACGTAGGCGATTGCTAGTTTAATAAAAATGTTATATGGAAATATTTCACTGCATTATACACACAAAATATCAAATAATTTAAATATATTATTTCTTCCATTATTATTGAATTTCACATATATAGCGAATAAGAACCTTTCAAAGCAATGACTGTCTTAACTACAGAGGACTTATAAACTAATAAATATCATATGCAGGTAAAGAGAAAACATGTACAAGTTCAACTCAAACTATATATATACACATACAAATATATGATGAAAAAATTAAATCAACATGCTTAAAAATTACACAAAACAAAACAGTCATACTCTGCCAATTAAAAATAAATAGAAAAAATTTCATTAATATTTTATTTTGATCATATTTTATGGTTAAATAGCTATGCTTTAATTATCATCATTCCACCCCCCATCCTCAAGTTTAATTTTTTACGGAATATTGAATTAAAAATAGAAAGAATTTGATAACTTTTGTCATGTCATCGTAAATGTTTTTAAACTTAAGTAATGCGTGTTTTCCCATCTAGTTAAGTGGTGATTTATCTTTGAAGTTATTACAAAAATAACTGAGTTAGAACATTAAATACACATAAAACTGCAAAAGATAATACTCTCATTTCTTCAGAATTAATAGATTATTAGGAAAATGAAAGCAAGGTGAAATGGTTAATGTTAAATAGTGAAGTCAAGAATGAGAGTATCAAATTTTACAGTAACAAATAACTTGTTCATTAGACACAGTCCATATGGAGTCACAAAATTATAAAGAACTAATAAATAAGCCTTAAAATAATGCTTTGTGCATTCAGAACTTTATACATGCACCTGTAATGTGATCTTTTCACGATATTAATTCCTAAACATCACTGTAGATTATTTATCAACTTAAAAACAGTCTAGTATGTCAATTAAAAAATAAGTTTCATTCATATGTAATATTTATTTTTCACATCTTTATCCTGAACACTTTCACTTTTATTTTGTGAAAAATAAGTTGTTTTTTTTACCATAAAACTAAATTTCAAGCATTTGATATTATAAAAATACTCTAAATGGTTTTTAATTATTATATTTCAGTTCTGTTTAGCTTATACAGTCAGCCTTTGGAACTTTATTCAAGATGAAACAGTTAAATTTCTTACTATTTTTATTCTCAATATAAACCATGCAAACACGATTAAATTCATCTTAGGACAACAAACAAAATATGCTGATTTATTCAATTACCTCTAAGTGTTTTAAAATTTTGTTGCTTTCATTTTTCCACTTGAAAAGTCCAATAAATTAAGTTTTATAATCCAAGTCATTTAGTGGAAATGACATGGTTTACACTGATGAAATGTAATAGAATAAAATCTCATTCTTCTCGGGGGGGAAAAAAAAAACAACTAAACGTTTCAAATCAAACAAAATTCTGCTGTGACTTAGCAGATAAATGCTTCTGACTTATTAACTAATCTTACCATCTCTTCATCTTCAGCGAGCACCAGATCATAACCACTAAGAGCCACACAAAATATGATGGCAGTGACACCCTCAAAACAATGTATCCATTTCTTCCTTTCAGATCTTTGACCCCCAACATCAAACATTCTGTGGAAATAAAATTTTAATTACTTTTACTCTTTTTTCTTCTTCTAATTCTGGTCATAAACTGAAGCAATACCGGTATATTACATGAAGTATTTAATAAATTACTATTAAGAAAACATTTTTTTCTGATACAAAAGGCTCAATTTATTATTAATAATAATATACGGGACGGGCTGCTGATGAAAATCAAATCAAATGTTTTTTTGTTTTTTTGTATTCTAGCAGAATTAGAAAATGGCACTACAAAGAAAGTATACTTTAACAACAAACCCATGCATTAGTGGAACTCAAAGTGAAGTAGGAACAGTTAACGATACAATATGAACCAATTTACATGGAAACAAATCTGTCAGTCTTTCTCATGTTAGATTTAAAGTTACTTATGTGAAGTTCAACAACTTACTTTTTTCAAATGTGATGCGCAATGAATCACAACCCTAATATGAGAACTACACAAAATTACAAATTAAATCATGAAAATTAAAGTTCATTTTGATGTTAAAATTACAAATCAAAGAAAACCATTTTTTTTACATAAATGAAAGTATCGTAATACACGCAGAACCAACCCCCCTTTTCTGTGAAGTGTCATTTTTTTCCAATAGCTATTTTTCCGAAAGTATCAATTTTTCTTTACACATTTTTTTTTGTAAGCAATAGTGCTGAAAAGTGATAGTTGTGAATACACTATAATTAAATTCAGCCACATAATCCCATTTATAATTAACTCTTCTTTGCAGTTACATTTTATGAACTAAAAGTATTTACAAAATGGAAACAAAGTAAATAAAAACAAACACTTACTTGAAATGGAAATTCTTAAATGTAAAATTGGTTTCCACAATGCCAGTTGTTTTCACCCTAGTTCGTAAAACATCTTGCTGTGTAGGAATATAGCTAGGTTGACATATTCTGTCAAGAGCATTAAGGTAGCTAGTAAAAAAATGAGAAACAACCTTCTTAAAATGTCTGTACCAGAGAAATACAAACTTAATGCATGCAATAAGGTTTCTGAAAATTATTTTAAGCTAAACGGCACTCACATTTGTCAAACAAACCCTTTTTCATGACATGTCAGGCCAGAGTTCAAATTAGAATCACAGAAAGAGTTTAATGTTTAAATTAGTATGTATGTTAATTTAATATGAGCAGCTTAAGACAAAATACAGAAAAAAAAACAACTGCAAATAAAAATACACTGGGTGGCTTCATTATTTTAGTTTTAATAGGGACTTTAGGCAATTTGAAACTAAATTTTGCATCTATAGAACTTTTTTCAGTTAAAATAAACAATGTAATATACTAGTTTCACGACTCAGTTGATTGGGAGAAGCAAGACATACTAAATATTACATTTACTATTAGATATTTGACTTTACTGTTTCTAAAGTGGAATGATGTTTTAGACTTGGTATAGAAGACTAAGCATTGTCGTATCTTATCAATTTGACAGGGCTTGTAGGACAACCAGGGACATTCAGAAACTTCCGTTTGTCTTCATCCCGCTTGTGGAACTAAGAGTTATTCCGAGATGAAGTTTGAAAATTAACTAAAGTGAATAAAACTTTAAGTGACCAACTTATGTTTAAATGGTGCAGTGTGAATGTTAGCTCGTGGGTATGTTGACAAGCATGCATGGCACGGATAAGCACAAAACATGACTAATTGGGAGCCTCATGAAGACCAGGGAAGCTGTGAACAGCACCTTCTCAGGGCTGGGATCAAAGGATCCAAAAACCAAGAATGAATTTTGCTGAATGGGGGAGGGAGGAGAACCCCCACTCTATACTGCCTAAAATACTTTTGATATGACATTACTGTAACCAACAAACTTAATAGGCAGTTAAGAAAAATCTTAGTAAAAACATTTATGGACTATTAAGAGCACCAACCTTATTAATATAAATACTTAATGAAAAATAATTCTACATACTTTTAGTTATCATTATTATACATATATTTTCACTGAATACCCGAGTAGACTGGTACTCTGGTAAGCGAGTTAATATTATCACTAATCACGGAAGGATCATCAACTGTTTCAGTCTGTAACATATGAAGTGGATACATTTTTCATATGACAGTCTCGGTATCTGATTTAATGATGTACATTTCTTTGCTGTTGTCATAATAAAAACATAGCACATACACCAGATTATTAGCATTGGACAATTTACTTATTCTCACAAACAGATCTACTTAACTGTTACATTACTACACAGATACAATAGTTTTAGTTCAAGACTATATTAATTACATATGTAAACGAGTTTCTCACATTCCCCACCACTAAGGTACACTTAGAAATACTAAAACAAAATGAAGCCTTCATAGTAAAGCCACACAAATACTTGAAAAATGGACAATGCTAAATAAAATCATTATATCTTCACCTGGTCAGCACGTGGAAAATAATTATAAAATACAAAATAAGCATAAAAATTGAAAATGAGAAAATCTCCTCAATAGCATTAATGTGGAGGGTTACACAGTTGAACATGATTTTTAGCAGCTTTATAACATAGAAAATGACTTCATATCAATTTTTATCATCTTTAATAGGAACTCAAACTTTAAATAGATAGTCTGTTCATCAAGAAATTAAATTGGAAATTGCACATGGACTATCATGCTTCCTTTTAAAGTACAAAATTACATGAATATATTCAAAAATAATAATGTAGACCCACAGTTTGAAACCATCACTTTCATATCTGTAACAGTATAATTAGTTTTTCAACGACAGTGTATGTAGGTGTTTCTTTGAATTTTTGTGCGTTTTAACGTGAAAACATCCAGAGTTTAATTTGCTTTCAGCTCAATCCAGGTTATAAATAAGACCTCTCCTGTTACGCACACCTTAGAATAAAATTCAATGAGAATGAATGACATACCATTTCTGTGTATTTTTAGAAAGTTTGATTTCTCATGCTAAGTCCATAAAAATCTTTTACTCATTGTCAAATTCTCCATTATTCTCGTGATGAACAGTTCACTAAATTGTCAATTTGATTTTATTTGTTATATGGTTGCTCTATTGATAAAAGTGCCTTTACCATAATCCATATGATTCATGAACTGAAAACAGCATCTCATTCACACGTTACAGCAGCAGTTTGCAGAATCAAACTTTGTAGGCAGATGTCAAAATGGAAACTTACTAAGCAGCTGAATCATTTAATTGGTATTCTCGAGAGCGAGAAAAACAATGTTGTACTCCAGAATCCAACCAAAGCCTCTTCATGATAGAGGACAGTTCTCCAGTTAATTCTCCTTCCTGAGAAGCACCAGCAATTGTGAAAAACTGGCGAGCATCATCCTGGAAGAAAGAAATACAACAGAAATATAAGAATGCATTGTATGTTTATATTTTGGGAAAGATGATGGCAAGATGTAAATGCAATCAGAGAAATTAGTTGTATTATGTTTATAAACTATCATCTCAAAGCTTGTACATGTAACAAGGAATTGATCCAATCTGGAATCAGGATTTGTATTTATAACAGGTAATGAACCATCTTCATTATCAAAAATGGAATACAAGATCTAGTAATCACCGGTTAGTACACTCACGGAAATTAACTGTTAGTAATGAAAAAATATCCAGTTAAAACTTACCACTCTTATGGGGTCACCAAATTCAATTTTTAACTGACCCATAGCTCTTATGATGGCCATCAGACTTTGGATGGTGTTGCTATGCACCACAGGCCTGTATTGTAGACATTCTTCTGTAGAGTAGCCAGATTCATGGATAATTCTGTATTAACAATAGAACAAACTAGATGTATATTTTTATTTCAATAGGTTGAAGAACCATATGCCCTCAATGTTTGTTTTAAAGAACATAACATATGTTAACAATAAAAAAAGCTTACAATATTATACAAATACTGACCCAAAATTATAACAGCCTGATGATACATTTATATAAATAATGTAAAGAAAACATGATAAACCCTTTTAACTTGTTTAATTTTGATGTAAAACAAAAATAACATTTTAATATTAAAAACACGTTGGCACGCATTTAGGTATGACAGTTGCTTTAGTGGGTTACCTGACCAAACTCATGAATCCACTTGCAACTTCTATGGGTCCACCTGATATACAGTTGCAACTCACAAAAGGTCAATACAGAAGTGTTTGCCCCTACCAGTTACTCCCCCATAAACTTACACACAACTGGCATAATATTACACAAGACAATCAAAAACATGTTTTTATGTGGTGTAACATTAGTATGGTTATGCTTCCTTCATATGCCTATATAAACAACCACTGAAGAAATATCCAATATCACTGATCATGTTGTTACATGAAATTTCAGGTTTTAAAAAATACAGCAACATCCTGAAAGTACAAAAAAACATCAACATACTATATTTGTAGAGATTTTTAAAACCATTTTCGATCACACACAATCATCACCACTATCACAATCTTACAAACCACCGTGCTGAAGGTACGAAGAAATGACCCCCCATTCAAGTTTTGAAAAAGTGACTGTCCAGTAATTACTGCTGTTGTTCCGATTCTTGTTCATTAACAGCAAGTTTGTTGAAAAATGTTTTACATCTATTACTGTTGTTGTTATTGAAAAAAGTATGTTTTGCATGCTTGAGATAACTGAATGACTTCATGATCTTAATCCATTTTTTACACACACAAAAAAACTGCACTTAGTTTGTTTCATGTGTAGAGGTAGAGACAAACTAATTTCCCAAGAATTTTATTTAGGGTGGGGGGAAGTGGGGTTTAACTGATTAGCATATATTCACCTTTAATGTAAAGAAAAGGGAAGTTCAGCCTATATTTAGTTCATCGTAATCTGCAGTTATAAACACTCTTACATTTTAAATTTCATATATTTATTTGCCTTTACTTAACATATGCAAAATAATATCAAATTACTTAATATTCTTACATTATTTACTTTTACACAGAATTCAAATCCATTTACAGACACAAGTTTTTATTTTTTAATGATTATTAGCAAACAATGATACTTCTTGAGAGTTGTGGAAAAAAGTAATGATAACAGTACACATAGCAAACTTCTAAAAACTTAACAGAAACTATCAATTCCCCCACCCCCAATCCTACAGCCTTTAAATATGTACTGCAATAAAAACTCATTTCCTCTAGTCTTTAGACTTGAAGTCATGTTCTCTTAACACTTATTTATTTAGCCTTTACACAGAGATATGTCGTAATTGTATTGCACACTTTAACATTAATACACTACCAATACTCAATGTACCAATCATAAAAATTTGTGACGATTCGTATCATTTCTGACCAAGTGTAAACATCTAGTGAAATATGACTAAACTTCCTGGATGAGTCACTTTCCCTAACATGTTATCTTGCTTGCTTTTACTCACACAAACAAATCAGCATACTGTGCAGAGAGGAGATAAAAACTGCTAACTAGTTGACACAAAAATTTTTGGAAACTGGAGAACGCCATCTTAATCTAGTCTTACCTTACTTCTGAAAAGTAAGTCTACTATTTTTCCTTTCTCTTTCACGATTATGTTTAGTGAATTTTCCTTAAGAGATATGAATGAAAAGGAAAATTTATGAAACATACAGCAAGGAAAAGAAAGCAAAAATACTTTTCATAGTAAGATGAGACCAACCTTTTAAATTTTATATTAAAATAAAGGGTGCCATTTGACACAGAAGTGTAATTATTTAAAAAAAAATTACAAATTATGCGAGTAGTTACACAAACTTTCTTTTAAGAACCATGACAGAAAATGAGAGAATAAAAAGCAACTTAAAACATAAAAAAGGGATTCAGGCAAAGATACAAATGAAAAAGACACTTTCACAATTTTTTTTTTTTATGCAGTTATGATTGCTAATTATCAGATACTAGAGAAAAATACTCTACAATTTTTATAAATAATTTTACTTTTCTAGTTCCACATAATGGTATATTCAAGGTACTCTCGTATATTTCAGTGACCGTTGGTAGGGCCAACGCTTTAGGGTTGAACATTAGTTACAGCATTTAAGAACAAAAAAACTTCAGTTGCTCAAACATTTCTTCGGTGTTATATACTTTATAATTCTTCAACCAAGATTATTAGCCAAAATAATAAGAATTAAAAATAAAAAAATAACTAAAGAAATTATTTAATTACTTACAATAATTATGTCAGTAAATTCTGTGGTAATCATGGTAATTCTACAGAACTTTGACAAAAACTAAAAATTTAAGATTCACACTTACTTCATTTGTTTAACAATTGTGCTTTTTCCTGACTCTCCAGCACCTGAAAAAAATAAATGAAATAAACTATAAAAATATGAGATATTCAATTATTTGTTGCAACAAACTGGTGAAGTTCAATGACATTACATTCTTTTTTGATATATATCAAAAAGACAGAGCCAAGTGTTAAGTCCTTGAAGTTTGGTATGCAACTGAAACAACTTGCATTTTAATTATTATTATTATTATCAGCCCAATATACTGTGTGGTAAATATGAAAAAATTAGTCTAGGCACTTGCACTATATTGTTACACAACTTCAGTGATACATACACATGACATTTAACTATTACTTTCCTAAAATAAACTCATATAGTTACTGGGTGCTTCACGTATAATTAAAAACCGGGTAGGTTACATTCCAGCGATAGGAAATACATCGTAGAAGGTGTGTCCATCTGTGATGACAAATCACAAGAGTAATACTACTAATTATTTATAACATCAGGCATACTGGAACATAAGACATTGGAGGGGTGGGGTTGGAGAGTCAAATTAATAAAAATTAGCTAATAATCAACAAAAATGCTTCAAAATATTATTCAAGTTCACACAATGACAAGAACTATATTGTACAATAATATACAAAATACAAATTAAATTGTTTGCTGTGTTCTACAAAATCATAAGTCATACAAAAAATGTTTCAAATAACAGCCAGAATACACACTATGCATTACAAAAAAAGTTACTAATGGATAATGTTTAGAATTTCTCAGAAATAGTCTCATTTCAGTTTGCAAAGTCAACTAACTGTGTACAAAAAGACAAAAAAAATTAATCAGTAAAACATTGAAAGGGCCCAGTGATATTTGGGCCCTCTAAATTTAAAATCACTTTTTTTTTCCCTTTGAAATGTAAAATCAAAAATCCAGTTAACCTAATAAGTAAATTAAATTATTGTAATTCATCAGCACTTTTCTAAAAGTGGACACAAAACAAGAACTGGTGTATTAATTCAACAACCATAAACATTTCTACTGGTTCATTATTCACATTTCATGGTATTATCTCAAAACATATTTCAAGCCTGTTTGATTTGGTTGTAGTTCATCACAAAGCTACACAAAGTGCTATCTGAGCTCTGTCCACCATGAATAATGAAACCCAGTTTCTACCACTAAGTCTGTAAACATACCACTGAGCCACTTGGTCTCAAGCCTGTTTTGCACATTACCATGAATATGTTGTTGCCTTGTAAACATCTCTTAACATATCTAAAGCCTGTATATAGGTCACCCAAAGACAATATTCATAAACATCTGAAACATTTTAAACCCATAAGGAAGTCATCCCAAAGATAGTTGGTCTCATGTACCAACAACTGTTTAATACTCATCTCCAATGGAGAACTTTCATAGTTACTGTATTTGTGTTGTACATTTTCCAAGACTTGTAATGATTTCCAGTCTAGCATACATTTTCAATTCCTCATCAAAAACTAATCTAATAGTGTGTTTTTGATGAAACAGAAAGAAACTGGGATCATTTCTTATAAATATCAAATGATAATGAACTAAAGGATGAAGTTTGTCAGGTTTTAAAAGCACGATTTAGTGTGAGAAGTACTATTCTTAACAATCTACTTGTCTTTAGGGACACTTCACAAACAATCACAAAATACATTTTAATTTAACCAACTTCAGCTCTAATTAAAAACTGATAAAAACAAAGATGGATACAAAAATGCACAAGTCCATAAATTTTCAATTAATATTTGAAATAGAAATCCCTCATTCTCTGGCAAAATCTGTAAGAACTTAGTATGATTATATTTGGATGACAAGAAAATGTAAAACTAAGCTAAATATATTTTGTTTTTTTTGCCAGGAAGTGGGTGGAATTTGTAATTCTGTAGTTATTTATAAAATTAATTTATATAAAAATCATATTCCACAAAAGAAGTAACCTGTTTAAAACTTCATAATCATTTTGTAAAATTACAGTTACCGATTGAACAAGGTAGTTTAAAATAAGTACATGGTGTTAGCTTCTGATCATTGAGATTGATAGAAATTGTTAACTCAAACACTAGATGTTAATGCAAGTTTAATTACACAAGATATTTTTTCATGAGAATTTGAGAACATAAAACATACTACATAGTAGTAAAACCAGGTAGTTTAAAATAAGTACATAGTGTTAGCTTCTGATCAATGAGATTGATAGAAATTGTTAACTCAAACACTAGATGTTAATGTAAGTTTAATTACACGAGATATTTTTTCATGAGAATTTGAGAACACAAAACATACTACATAGTAGGAACACCAATGGGTCATTCAAGTTAATTTTACCTGCATAAATTTCGGGAAAATCCAAGCCAGCAATAATTAATGTCAATTTGTTTGATTTAAATGTCTAGTCCTTTACTCACTATTAAACATCTAAATTACTTTAGATGTTTGGACATCATGCAATATAACCAGCAATAATTAATTACACATTCACATGAAGTGGACTTACTGCTTATTATTTCATTAATTTCTTTTATTCAGCAAAATGTGAAGCAAATAAATAAGGTAGGCCTCATACGTGCGATGAGGCTTACTTTATTTACTTCATCTTCCAAGCAGTAGTGATAGCCACGAATTTGGGGAACTAGTCAGTTAAAGCTGGAATACCAAATCAAAGTATAGGTTAAGCCTATACATACTTTTCTTGGCTGAAGTTCACGTTTTGATAAAGAAAAGAAATTAACAAATACTGTCACCCAAAAGAGTAAATAACATTTCAATCATACATACTGTTAATAGAATAAGTAATGCCTAACTTTTCATAACACATTTCATAAAAAGTTAAAAATTGTTTGTTTTATATAGCAACAATATACCGATATTTTAACACTCAAATTTGCTAACAAGCTGAATGAAATTTATAAGGTGTCATTGAAATCCTTCAAATCTGTGAAACGTCTGTATATTAGTACACTTTGGAACAAGTCTGGATTATGAATTTACCGAGTAAAAAATCTTGCACTGAATTTAATAATTTTAGCGATTATAATTATTAAATTCAGTGCACGATTGTTCTATTCAATATAATGATATAAACACAAAACTGCACGGTATCAATGTTTAACTTGAGGTCATCATATGCTATTTGAATTATGTATAAAAAAAATTTCAAAATGCGAGTGAGAATTCAGATACAATTAAATGTGGAGCAACATATATGGCCTTTATCATGCGCTACCGATTCAAACAGTTGTAGACGTCATGATACGTAACAAGCAAACATGGGACGCGTAGAATACACAGGGAGAAAAAAGGGGGGGCTTGCAACTTTTACGTTAAAAGCAACGAACATTCAACTTGTTGATACTTACACGCACACACATACACCAAATTAAAACTGAAGAAAAGGAAAATTACTGTAAAAACAGTCCATCCTACAGCTTTAGTTTCTCACGGTGTGACAAGCCTTGGGTCTTCAGGGTAATATAAATATTCACACAAACAAATATATAGTTAAGCCACAACTTTCAACTTGAGCTTTTCCCCTCATAAAATAAACTTTTCTACTGTTCAATAAACAAACAAGTCTGGGATAAATGGGAGCACGTGTAAATTTAATGACAAATTTAGCGATGCTGTAAAGATTACGTTTGTTGTGTTCTTGTGCGAATATAACACGAGTAACACTTTCTTTACTTTTGTAACTCTTTGTACGCCTTTTTTTTTTTGTCGTTGTTTCTCAGGAACACGAATCCTTTTAAATTCACGCCTGTCAATCGCACTGTTTCCAAGTCAAAATAATTTATAGACTAGATACCGAGCTAATAATGCTTTATTAATTTATTCTTTTCCAATTAATGATGGTGTTAGTCTACTGGTAATGACAGTTACACATAGCGTGTGCTTTTATTTTGTGTTCAAGATAAACAAAACAAACTAGAAATCGCCAACTCTTCATTAATAAAAACAAAAACGTTCCCACGCATCCCAATCATCCTACGATTTATCATCATGGAAAAAAAAAACTAATGAGAAAGAAAACATTTATCCTCAGGCACCGAGGTGATTAAAGTAACCCGAGATTTAACAATGATTATTTGTTACATAAATAAAGATTTTGACAAATGTGCATGAAAAACGTCATTAGTCATATATATATATATATACACACACACACACACACACACACACACACACACACACGAGGGAGGTGGGGTGTAAGAAAGCTCCTAACAGTGACAAGTCACTGTTTTTAAATAATAATTGTCATACCGTGTTTTAGCCTACGGAGTACATAATTTTTCTTGTGATTCACGTCATGCGCACGTTTTACTGACGTCATTGTAGTGCCGACTGACTGACTGACTGACAGACAACGCACACCTATAGTGACGCTAATGGTAAAACAATATCATAACTGTAAATAACCGTAACCAAACCCTCATCTAATCTTCTGGGTAGCACCTTATCAAAAGTTTTTGATAACACGGGTATAACAAGTCCACACACACTTTTCTTCGTCCACATAACAAGTAACGTCCTCGACAAAACATGATATCGAACAGTAATGGCTTACTGCACCATAAATTTTTTTTTAGGTATATCCTTTATATCCCCATCAAAATTCACATTCATGGTAAAAATCTGTGCATGTTTACAGTCCACAGGGCTTTTTAAAAATCGAGACTCCCCACTATAGCTTTGAGAAACTATTACATCAATAGTTGAATACACAACCGACGTAGAATCATAATTTATCAGAACGGACAAGCATGGGTCTATTTCTTCCTTCTTTTTAATATAAATCATGGTTATAAAAGGGGGGGGGGGGATCACACACATTATCGTACAACTATCTTAAACGATTTAATGACGTTTGAAAGTCCAGCTAACAGATGGACAAAAGTTACAGGTGATGCTGTCACTTGTCGACAATAAGTACAAACAAGATGAAAGGTGTAAAAATACGAACATTAAAACGAATAGAAATACATGTATCCTGTGCTAGAAAAATAGTGTGAAAACAGTTCCACGAACTATCTTG